TATGAAATTGAATACTAGATATATAATGTATATATTATATAATAACAATATTTAGCAATCACAAATACATATAATTGGTAAAGATTGTTTAACTTATCTGTTAGATATAAATGACTTGTTTTTAATATAGATAAAACTTCTCTAAATGCACCCCTTGAGAAAGCCATGAGCATGCATTTAAGAGGGTGTGCATTTATAGAAAATAAAATAATTAAAGTTGGAATTAAGTCATTTATGCATTCAGAAATATACTATATATTTATAGAAAGTCATTAGAGAGACATTTGTATTAGGTTTTATTACGCATCATAAAATCAATTATACTATACTTACAGTATTTATTATTTATTAAAAATCTTTTTTATTCACCTATTAAATATGGAATTATTTATATATTAATACTATATCATAATTAAAAGTTTATAGGATAAATTTATCCATAATTTTTCGAAAGAAATTTATGTATATGCTTTTATAAAAATTAGAGATGAATTTAACTTAACTAAACAGCTAGATGAAAGTTTAGAAGTTTCTAGATATGACTTTCAGAATCTAATAATATATATAATTATTAATAATTCCTTTTATATATCAATAATTCTATTTAGCTAATTATAAGTTTCTTGACTTAAATATTATTGAATTAATTATTTTTATCTTTATTTTAACTTAGTACTGTTCTAATTACAAAATTAAATATATTAGTAATAATGATGAATAATAATTCAGAATTAGAGTAATAATAAGATTAATACTAAGATAAAATATTATTTAAAAAGTTAAAAAACTTATTATGCTTGTTCTATCTATTATATTTTTGATCTTTATATAATAAGAATATAAGTAAAAACTCCTTTGACAAATCTTTTATAATAACTTAATAATTCTAGAAAAGAGTAAAGTTTTGAAATATTAATAGGTATTAGCCAATCTCTAATTACTATAATCTTTATTTAATTAATTAAAATTCTATTTACTAATATAAAATAATTAAAATATTCTATATATTATTAAATTAATTTATATTTCTTTTATTTAGTATATAATTTATACTTTATACAAAATATCAAGTATAATTTAAAGATATTAAATTATTCTTTTTTATTTTATTATATATTAAAATATTATTTAAATAATAATTTATCTAAAATAACTATGAAATATATTATTTGTTAAGATTATAAAAGTAATTGATATATAAGTTTTAAAAATATTTTTGTAAATATTTTCTTCTTTAATATATATTTAATAATATTTAAATATAAATCTAACATTTTAATCAGTTAATTTATTTACAAGTTTATCAATTTGAAATAAAAAATAATAATTCTTAATAAGTTTATTTAAAACTTTATAATCAATATATATTTTAATATATCTTCTTTTTTATATATAATAAAACTAATATTTTAAATAATAATATACTAAAATAAATAAAATCTTTTATATTAAATTAGCTAATTATTTCTTGAACTTGTTTATTTTTATAAAAGAAAGTTAATAATAAATAATAATTTAAAACTATATATTAGATTAATTTTATAATTAGTTATTTTTTTAGTAATAATTCTTATAATAAGATTTTTAAAAATATAATTTATATTTCTTTTTAATTTTTAATATATCTAATATTATAAATTTTTCTTTATTTTTTATTTTTTATTTATTATATTAAAATTATTTGTAATTTATTATCAAGATATATTATATAAAATAAATTATAACTTGATTTAATTTTTATTTTAATATTAATTTTAATTTTAATAACTTTTAATTTATAATTAAAAATAATGTTATTATTTCTTTAATTTATAATGAAATTAGTATAAAATAATTAAGATTTATTAAAAATTAAGTAATTTTAAAACTTAAATTTTATATATATAATAAAAGTTTAATTTTAATTTATTAATTTATATTATTATAATTATTATTAATTTCTTTCTATTTATTAATTTTATTATAATAAAATTAATCTTTTTAACTTTAACTTTTTTTATATAAAGTTTTTATTAATAAAATTTCTAGATATATTATTCTTAAGTAATATTTAAATAAATTTTTTATTTACTTGATTATTAAATTTAAATAATCTCTTAAAATTATCTTTTAGATAGATAAATTTATTTTTTTTATTTTATTATATTATATTAAATAATTAATTTTCAAGTATTCTTTAAAATTTTTAATAATTAATAATTAGTCTCTATTTTTATAATAAATTTAAAATTATTTATGAAATAAATAATTAATTTAAGTTATTTATACTTATAATTTGTTTAAATAAATTTTTAAATTTAGTTTTATAATCTTAAATAGATTTAATTTAATAAAAAAGATAAAATTAATAATAAAAATTGTTAATAATATGATAATTGAAAGAATTCTCTTCTAAGTTTATTTATAAAATTCAGATTTCATATAATATAATATTATTTATAATCTTATACTTGTTAAAATATTAATATAAACAACTTCTTTCAAAGAGATAATAATATATTGAACTTAAATCTTTCTATCTTTAATATCTTAAGTCACAAATATAATTTCAAATTATATAATTCAAACAAGAATATTTTTTGTAAATACTTTGATAATTTAATAGAAAGATAATATAAAGATTTTGAATTAGTTAAACTTTTTTTCTATTTTAAATTAATTTAATTATATTTTTTATAAATTCTTTAAATTAATTATTATTTATCTTGCTAAAATTTCTAAATTATCTATTAACTAAGTATATATATAGAATATATATTATAAGTAATGTAATTATAAGTATAATATGTGATATATATTATATAATAATAATATTATTTATTACTATTAAGTTGTAAGATTATTTATTTATTATTATAAATAAAATAAAATATAAATTAAATAATTTTAATTTATAAATACTTATGATTCTATTATTTAAATAGTATTCAAGTCTGAAATAAAAGTACAAAACTGAGTAATGTATTTATATAAAATAAAAGAAATATAAAATATGAATAAATTAATAATTTAAAATATATATTGATTTTACATAATTAATAAAATTAATTATCTTAAGTTATATTTCTGGAGAGTAATTTTATATTTAATCCAATAATTGTAAATACAATAATAATATAAATAATAATAATCAAGAAGGAGTAAGAAAATAAAAGAAATATATAAAGAATATTAAAAAACAATAATTATCTAAATTAATAATTATAGAATCCATAGTAATTATGATCGTATTTTACACTATTCACATGTACACAGTAACTCTCTTTATAGTGTATCAAAAAAATCTATTAGTAAAAAATTCTCAAAAATCCACTATATCGAGAGTTTTTGAAAATTTATTAGTAAATACACTATATCGGGTAGAATTTATTATAGATGGTTTTGAACCTTTATCCACTAAAGCGTGATTTTAATTAGTCTCCACTGTAAAGGAGGTCCACTATAAAGAGAGCCACTGTGTACTATGTTTGAAAATTTTTTATTTTTTATTTTTTTTAGTTAAACAGAATCACTTCTTGTTAATTATAATTTTGATGAGAAATTTAAATAAATATATATTATATAATATTATAATTTGTAGCAGCAAAAAAATATATAAATATATAATATAAATAAATATTTTTCAAGTGAAATATCATTTATTAACAAATGGCATAAATTCATTATAATACACATTTTTTAACTATAATTGAGATTAAAAATGCGTAATATAACGAATTATGACTTTTTAATACTGTTTGTTGACTGCTACGCATTTTTTAATATCAATTGAAGCGAAAAAAAAGCATATTGTAATGAGTATATGGCACTTTTAACACCGTTTGTTGACAAAGGGTTCGTTGTTCAACACTATTAAACACCCTGAAAAACTTCCTGATGTCAATGAATCAATGCAGATATATCAACGTTTTATGATAAAACCTTAGATTTTGTTAAGCATAAAAGAAATTCAGGTATCGGTTTTGTTAAGTACAAAAGAAATAAAAGCCGAAGCGTAGTTTGGCAAGAATTAAAATAATTTTATTATTCATTTTTTCTTCAAACCATACAGTGCTTGTCTCTCAGACCTTCTATATATATAATTTGATTATTACACAACTATAAATTATAAATTATAATTTAATACAGGTTTCGCACAAAGTGTGAGAATTTTTACAAAAAGAATATGATGAAATTTAATGCAATAATAAAAATAAATATGTACGATACAAAGTGTAATTTTAAAGGAAGTATGAAATTTTGGTTTGAAATTTCTAATGATAATCAAAATCTTGGGATCTCAAGAGTTTTAGTAAGAAATTCTTATTAATGTTGATACATGTACATGTAGTACAGAGTCAAGAAATTTTGAATATTATTCTGTAATCACGTTGCGACGACAAACATAGATGTACTTGTATCCATCATGTTAATAACAAGCAAGCAGAGAACTGTGAGAAGTTTCGTGCGTAACAATTTATTTGCACACATACTACGAGGCATTAATTACCTAAATACAATGAAGCGAATGGGGTGTGTGTGTAAAAAATCGAGTGCATTTAAAATGCCCACCATGAATTTTTCGATGACATGTGAATATATTAAAATCAAGTTATTATTTTTGATAAAAAGTAATACTAACAAGATAATTAGTTTTTTAAGTCTTTAGCGAACCCGCAAAAAATATCATTTAAATAAGCTACCGAACTTATTCGTCACGTAACAAACATAAAAGACTTTTCTCGACGCTGCGAACTCTATTTCTACAGCTATGTATAACTGTGTGCCATTATCAAAAAAATTTTAGGTAAATGAAACTTTTATATTTATTTGTGGATGTTAATAAATCTAATATTACAATGTTGCTTTAAAATGATGTTCTTTTTGGATATTGATGTGGTTTTCATGCTTAAAATTAGTTTGAAAAAAATTCTATATAAATAAATTAATAAATAAATAAATATACTTTTGCAAAATGAAAGATGAAATTTTTCTATATTAATATATACAAAAGATAGTCCTTATTCAGCTATAATAGGACCCAATGTCTTTCGTAACGGTATGTGCTTAATAAATAAACTAGTAATAGTGGCAACACCAGCCATCGGTATCGCAACAAAAAAAACGTAACTTAATGCATGCACATAAGCATGAATAATAGATGTTTGTGTATCAGGAGGTAAAGTATGGATATATTCCACCGAGTTTTTCACCAATTCCAGTGGGATGTTTGAAGGCAAAGTATCAATCAGATATGACGAGAGTTTGTTATTGAAAATTGCGCCGGAGATTGCGACACCGAAAACACCGCCAATTGTTCGGAAAAAACTCGAGAGTGAAGTTACCACGGCGATATCTTTATGTTCTACGGAAGATTGGGCTGCTAATAATACGGTTTGCATTGAGCATCCGAGACCAGCTCCAGCGATTAAGAGATATCCGATTTCTTCCCCACGATTTGAATTTTCATTTAGTGTACTTAATAATCCGGAGGCGACTGTTGTTAGCCCGTATCCGAAAATAATCCAAGGACGGTAAGAACCTGTTACTGTTGTTGCAAACCCGGATACAGTGGAGAATAACACGAGGCCAAGTACCAATGGGATTAATTGTAGGCCAGCTTCGGTGGCCGAGTATCCTCGAACAGCTTGAAAATATAGTGGCAGATAGTAAATGAAGCCGTAAAATGCCATTCCGATAAAGAAACTTGTAATATAAACTAGAACTGGATTTCTGAGCTTAAATAGATGTTGTGGAATAACTGGTTCGATAGCGATTCGGAATTCGATGAAAATGAATACACAAACGAGAACTGCACCAACGCAAAACAATGAAATTACGATCGGTGAATCCCACGAATAAGTATTTCCACCCCAATTGAGTGGTAATAAAATGATGACAATTGAGGCGACAAGGAATATTGTTCCGATGAAATCTATACGTTTTATTTTTTCTTTAAGTGATCCATAAACATGCGGCAAATGAAGCATCGTAATAATAATTATGATGGTTAATGCAGCAGTCGGTAAATTAATATAAAACGCCCATCTCCAAGAAATGTGATCAGTGAATGCACCTCCAATTAAAGGACCAACAACTGATGAAATGGTAAAAGTTCCACCGATAATTCCCTGATATTTGCCACGTTCTCTTAAAGGGACAATATCAGAGATAATAATCATTACCAAAGACATGATTCCACCTCCTCCTATACCAGCAATCGCTCGACTAACAATTAACATTGGCATATCTACCGAAGCACCACATAACACTGATCCGACAACAAATGTGCTGATCGCAAATAGAAAGGAAGATTTACGACCGAAAATGTCCGAAAATTTTCCATAGAGTGGTTGGAATGCTGTCGATGTCAAGAGATATGCTGTTCCCACCCACGAAATATCCGATAAGGCATGAAAATCCGATGCAATCTTTGGCAACGCGGTAGAAACAATCGTTTGATCAAGTGACGATAAGAATATGGCTAATGATAGTCCCATAAAGACGATGAGTAATTGTTTAAATGGTAGCAGTGTCGTTTGGTCATCTACATTTTCACCGGCAGATGGGGAAGGAGGCTTTATTTCTGATTTTTCATGATTATGTCCATTATCATCGTTAATGACAATTTTTATAGTGTTAATTTCTTGTGAATGTGACCTTGTTGAAATTTGTGTTGTGTCTTCACTAAATGTACTACTACTATTATTACTATGATCGTTCTCCTGTGTTGTATCAGACATATTTTATAGAATTTTTTGATCAATGTTAATTCAAAAAACAAATTCAAGTGTAATATTAGAATCTTAAAATACAATTTTAGATAATTCGCTCCCCAGTACATGTATTTATCTAAAATAATTGGTATTTAATTGTTCCGCGGCAGCGCAACTGAATAGATCACTTGCTTGTGTTTTTTTATTGATGTGTGTAATCGCATGTTTAATAAATTCAATTTTTCCTCTGCTCAGTTTACATTTCGCCGGACTATTTATTTTCCCGAAAAACAAATAGCTGAATTCGGAAAGTTAACCGATCGATCTAACCAATCTAACCAACTATAACCAATTACAGATGTGGATATAATTTTTTGTCTTATAATCGTCTCATTACAGGTATGGGGTGGCAATGTATTACCCGATACGTCCAAATTTGAGATCTGGTTGCATTCCATACATTCGGATGATAATAGTTCCTTTCAATACTTTTGATTGAGAAATTTCAACTAACGTTAATAATAAATTACATGTATTGTCACCATAATTCCTTAATTCTTGAAATTATGACAGTATCCACCGGCTGTATTTTTGGCATACTTTTCGCCGTATTTACATGTATCAACACAAATAGATCACGTAGTCTGTCACATTTTTCAGCGCCTGTTTTTCAACCAACCATTTTTCAGCACATTAGTAACCAGCCCGATCAGCCGCGTAATTCTTTGTTATCTTTTTCAGCATAATCACCCACGTTCTCAGCACAATCGCTCACGTTTTTCAGCACAATTACTCCATCACCAAGTAATAAAACACTTGTGTAAAACCCTTCGTAAAGGATTCATAATTATAATCGTAATTATAATCATAATAAATCAGTTAGGTTCTTTGTGCCAGAAAAGATAACGATTGGTGAAAAGGCAAACGCATCAGTGAATTGATATTGATATGATTAATAAGAGTTTAAGGCTTTTTACTAGAAAATGCATCAATTAAGAATTAGAATAGTTAGTAGTTAACAAGCGTAATTCCTTTTCCCCTCTTTCTTTCTTCTCGAAAATCTTACCAATACGCTAACTCCTATTCTTCTTATTTCCACACCGCAAATAATCCCGAAACCCTCCCACCCAAATCTTATCATTCAATTGTATTCTTTCTTTTGAATCGCATACACAGAACTATATCGCCACAGGAATTAGATCTAGCAAGCATAATCAGTCTAATCCCTCTCTCCCAACCCTAGTCACAGACAAAATTCATTAAATCCACCCATATACACTTGCCCTGTGACAGTACATTAATATACTTCACAAATCAATAAAATACAATAAACTAACTTTTATCTTAACATATACAGAAGCTCTATTCATCATTCTGGATAAAAAAATTATAAATCAAAACTAGTTAACTTGCAAACAGCTTTTAACTAATATACAGAATTTTCAATAAGATCAATTATAATAGACATATTTATTACTATGCTTATTTTTTTACTTTTTTATCTTTCTATTATATATGACGATCAAAAACTTGATTTCAACAGGATTATAAAATATCAATATATAACAAAACTCATGATGCTATATATTAAATTTGTTAAATATTATTTATGATCTAGAAAATATAAGAATAGAAAATATTCTAAACTAAATTTAGTAAAATTCATATATTTTAATAATAAATTAATTAATATAGACTTAATTAAATATATAGTAAAAGAACAAAAGTATTCAACCATTTGTAACTTTTATATTAAAATTTTTTTGATTTAAACTTTTTGGAATAATTAAAATACTATATTAAAATTCAAATATTTTTATAACAAATAAGTCAGATATTGAAATATTAAAATTTTAAATTTGATATTTAATTTTTTAATATAAAATAATAAAATATAAAATTGAATTTCTCAATAACTATCTTATTACAAATATAAAAAAACTTAAATTTAATATAAAATTTTTAATTTAAAACTTACTCAAATATTATTTTTAATATATTTTAATTAATATATTTAAATTTGGCTCTTATTTAATTTTAGTTATAATAATTATGAATTATAAAAAAATATATAAAATATAATATAAAATTTAATAAAGAATATTAGACTTATTTTTTTAATTAATTTTTTAAATTAAAAAAATGATAAAAAATTCATATATATTTTATATAAAAAAATTTTACTAAAAATAACATATAAAAAATAATTTAAATTATAATTTTTCTTGAAAATTTATTAAAATTTATTAATATTTTATTAAAATTTAATAAATTTAAAAAAAATAAATTTTTTAAATATTAAAAATATATAATAAGATATTATTAAAAAAATTTATTTGTTATATAATATATATTAAATTAAATTTAATAAAATAATTTTTATTATTTTTTAATAAAATTTCTAATTTTACTAATAAATATTATTATTTATTTATATATTAAATAAATATATATAATTTATAATTTTATATATATTTTATTTTCAGATAATAAATAAATTAATAATTAAAAAACTTATTTAAAAATATTTAAAAAATTTAAAAATATATAAATTATAAATTATTATTTAAATTTCTTTATAATTATCATATTTAAAAAAGCAAAATTAAATAATTAAAAAAAGATAGAATTATAAAGAGATTTTTTTTAATTATATAGTTATAATTAAAAGTAATAACTCAGAGATTAAATTTACTAATAAAATATAATAAAAATTGAAATTTTCTCTTTGTATTAAAATTTATAATTTTAATAAGAAATAATTTTTATGTTTATATTAAAATAAAGTTTATTAGTTATAATTTAATATATATTTTTTTCAGATTTTTTAGATTTTTTCTGAAAGAG